AAAAAAAAAAAAAAAAAAAAAAACTAATAGTTTCATTACTGATTTTTTATATCAACTTATTGAATAAATTACATAAAACTATTTTATTTGATAAAAACTGAATCAAACCAAACTAAATAATAATAATAATAATAATAATAATAATAATAATAATAATAATAATAATAATAATAATAAAATCAGGCTATGTTTCATCAATGGTTCAACATTCGTCAAATTTCTCGTCATTCGTCTCCATCTTGACGGAATTATTGTCCACCAAATTATATGAAGTGATTGGCTCAAAATACACTCCGATGGACTTGAGCCTCCTTGAATCCGCCGTGCCGTGAAATCCACCAAAATGGCCGCCGTCACCTAACCGAAGAGCAAACTCCTTGTGGCTGCTATACGACTTACCAAACGGGCCGTACTCACCATGATTTGTTTCAAATGTAATCGAACGTAAACTATTGTCGTGGCAGTGAAGGCGACCTCTAATCGAAGTTATATACTCTGCTGGGTAATCAAGTTTCACCTAAATCACCAAAAAAAGTTCAAATCAAAATTTAATATATTTGTGTTACCATATATATACTAAAATTAAAAGAACATAAAACAAAACAAACAATTTCAACTTACGAAATCAAAATTTTTTCCGCGTTTGTTACCATACGAATCGGACAGCACCAGTTCTCCATCTTCTGCATATAGGAATTGAATTGAATCAATTTCTTCAGCATGATGTATAAATATATAAACAATGTTAATGCGGCCCTTTTCATCCCATGTGTTTCCAGTTTTACGTCCCATAGGGCCTATCTTGAGCATGACTGCAGACGACGATGTGGTTTGAAAAGAAAATTAAATTAATTATATATGTGGAAAATATTAATGTTTGGTTTGATATATATATTATATCAAATGTGGTATTTATACGTTTATTTATAATAAAATCGATGTTAAAGCGTGAAGCTCAAAAGCCATTCGAAATTGAACATGAAAAACTGTTTAAATTTCATGTGATCGTGACTTTGAACCATAAATAAGTACAGGTACGCTTCATGTACTTATAATAATCAAATACAAGAATTGTGCATGTATATCATAAATCTTGGATGACTCTCAAGATAAAACAATTCTAGCGCACACCCCAATAAGAGCATCTCCAATGACTCTTCTATTCTTCTTTTCTATTGCCACGTGGCACAAATAATCAAATATGGCATGATAAATGTCTAGAAAGACTTCTAGATGTAGAAGTCATTCTAAACAACTTCCACAATATATTATATTATTTATTTAATTTATCTTTTTTTTTTCAACCAATTATAATTTTACACATCACAATTCATACCACAATTAATGCTTACCATTGGAGACACATTTTTTTAACTTCCTTTCTTCATGCTATTTGATTGGTCGAAAAAAGTGTGTGTTTTATATATTTATTAGCGTATTTTTATATGCTTGATTTTATCGCACTTGTATATTTTTTTTGACTTATTTATTCTTTTAGATGGATTTGAGTACTATGATATTTTTATGATTTAATTTCAGTATATTGGCCTATTTACGTGGATGGCGAAATATTGGACAGGAGCTCAAATACGCAATTAGCGAGACGCCAAATACCGGTCACTATTTTCAGTCCAAAAGAATAATTAAGGCCCAAGATTATCTAATGCATTAGTGGACCATCCAAAAGAGTTTGAGTTAAAAGTTTTAAAAGGCCGCAGGACTTGAATTATGGGCTGAGAAATTGGTCATGTTTTGTTTTGCTAGACATATGATTTTCTAGGGAAATTCTTGGTAGAGACTCCACTCATACGCAAAGACATATATATTGGATATTAACGCAACAACAGAAAAAGGGAGCCGGGACAGAGCCGCCACGCAGAAGTTAAAGAAATTCAGAGCAGAGAAAAGATAAGGATTCACGAACAGAGAGTAGAGACACGAG